AACCAGTCATTTTGTTGATTGTTGTCTAACAATTGTCTGATTGTCAACATGTGAAATTGTCTCTCCATGATTGATTTGTTGAAAATTGACAAATCCAAGATGGGTCTCATCCCTCTGGTGAGTTTTGGGACCAGGAAGTAATGAGAGTAGAACCCTGTGTTTTCCTATCCTTCTAGAACCCTGGAAATTACATTTTCACCAGAAGTTCCTGAACCTCTGCGTGAAGAAACGAGATCTGTTCTGGGCATGACAGAATCGTCTCTAAAATTCCTCCGGGGGGGGGGGGGGGGTTGACCTGTGAACTCCAGCGTGTATCCCCTGCTGATAAGACGGTTCATCAATTTGTCTAGAGCGCACACTCACTGCCACTCCGCGTAACGTTCGGGGAGCGGATGCGCATCTCCGTGCTGCGTCATGTTTTTTACGGACGCCAACTGATTTACAGCCTCTACCGCCGTCATGTGCTGCGAACGCGTGCTGCGAGGGTGTGCTTCGATCGACCCAAGTTGAGGCTTTCTCGAAAGGGACCCGAAGGCACCTCTGTGCCACGCTCAGGCTGCGGGCTCACATCCTAGCTGATGTGAGCTGCCGTGCGCTGAGGAGAGGTGCGCACGCCCTTAGCCATGCGGTGCCGCTTCGGCGAAGGCTGCCACGTGGGCGTGCGTTTGCCGCCATTGCGGTCAGAGGAGGCGGCGCACGGCTTAGGTTGAGAGCGAGGTTTTCCACTGGACTCGGTCTGCTGAAAACATTCACTTTTGGCTGTTTCGCAAGCACCTTTTGTGTTTTTTTGAGATGCGGTGATTTTTGAAAACCTGTTTAAAGGACACCGGCTCGTTTTGTGTGGAGGATGTGTGAGGAGAAGCTGCTGTGAGATCATCCGATCTGACAGACAGGCTGAAAACAGACACTTTAAATCCTGAACGATGTTTACGTTTTATTTCGGTGAAGATTCTCAGTCATCCAGGACATGATGAATTCAAAAAACGTTCAATACAAAAACAACTGGATTTTATTTGTAACAGAAGACGTTTCGCTCCTGATCGGAGGAGCTTTCTCAATTCAAAGAGCAGTGAGTAAGGGATTCAGGTTATAAAGCTGAGTGAGATAAGACACACACACATAAGACACCCACACATATGTAGATTGGCAGTTCACACCTAAACACCTTAGCAGTTCACACCTAAACACCTTAACAGTATGTCTTTGTTCATCTAATTCACAGATGAGGCCCCTCTGTTCCCATCAGGTGTGAAAACCAGCTGGGAATCTGTTTTATTTGGAACAATATTGACAAATGTAAGTCGATTTTAAATAGGTGGTCACAGAGGGACATTTCAATTTTTGGTAAGATTTTATTAACTAAGATGGACAGTCTTTCCAGATTTATTTATCCAGCTTATTCTCTTTCTATATCAACCAAGATGATAAAGGCTATTAATACTTTAAACTTTAATTACATTTGGAGGAAAAAAAATCACTATATACGTAAAGATGACCTGATTAAAACCTACAAAGATGGTGGAGGGAATGCAATAGACTTTGAAATTATGAATGGTACCTTAAAACTTAAATGGAAAAAAAACAATCTAAATAATAATCTCTCAATTTGGTCATATATACCCATTTTGGTGTTTAAGATAGGGGGACTTCATTTTCTCTTACAATGTGATTTTGAATTTAGCAGATTGCCTGTGAAACTTTGAGATTTTCATAAACAGGTTCTTCTTTACTGGAAACTCATTTTCAGTCATAATTTCGCCCCACACAATACACCAGTGTGGAACAATAGGTGCATTCTGATTAATAAAAAATCTATACTTATTGAGGAATGGCGTTCTAAAGGCGTGTGGGCTGTGGCCCATTTTATGGACAACGAAGGAAACATTTTACAATATCAAGAGTTCTGTAAACAATTTCAAATCCATTGCGATGAGAATAAATATAACCAAATTTTAAAGGCTATTCCAGTCTCTCTTAGGGCTATGGTGAGACAAGATATTATATCTGATATTTCCCCTGGTCTGAAACAACTCTATTGATGGGGTTGCTTTCTCCAACTATCAATGTAACAATAAACGTTTGAGAAACAAACTACTGCATCATTATTCTCCTAACTTAATTAGGAGAGACTATAGAAGGACTTTAGTAAAGAAAACATCAAAAAGATCAGAACTAATTTTATATCATTTCCGGTCCCTCCTAAAGCCAAAGAAATTCAATTTAAAATCTTAAATGGAATTTATCCTACTAAGGAATTTCTAAGGACAAAATTTAAAATGGACACTTGGAATTGTGTTTTCTGTGAGACAGAGAATGAGAATCTGGAACATCTTTTCTTTGATTGCATGATAGTTCAGCAATTTTGGCTTGATTTTAAAATGTGGAGCCAATCCAAAGGGATTCAGCTACTTACTCTCACTTTAAAAGAAATCAAATTTGGGTTAATTAATAAGATTGGAAATAATGACTATGCTATCAATAATTTGATTATATTAGCTAAACATTATGTTCATAAAAGTCATTTTTTTCTAAATGTAAACCTAATGTGAACTGCTGGAAGAATGAGCTAAAGTCCTATGCAAAATCTTTAAAATATGTAAATGGAAAAAAATGCCAGCAAATTTCTTAGTTTCTTGATTTTCAGTTTCCTCATATAATGCCTTTTTTTTATGCTTCTTTATTTTTTTTATTTCCATTATGTTAAGAATCACCTTTTGTAACTTTCATTTGTAAGAAATGGTACTTTTTGTTTTGTATTGTTATGGTTAAATAATAATAATAATAATAAAAAAACTAGCATGTTTAGCCACATCTACTAGCATATTTAGCTACATCTGCGTGTCACGATTTGATTCAAAATCGATTTTTCGATTCAGAAACGCTGTTCGATTCAGAAACAATTTTTCTATTGAAATGGTCATAAATTTTGTTTCAATAATGTAACTGACGAACTGAAAAGATTAAACAACAATATAAACAAATAGAACATTTATTTAAAACAATAATTTTATGTTTTTTACTGTATCAAATCTTTTTGCATCATTTTATATTTAGACCAAAAATAGGGAAAAATATAGGCGTGCATAACATTCTGTAACTTAAATTACCAATATTAGGTTAGCTTAGTTGCCTGGATTTTTCTAAAATAAAAATAAATGTTTAAGAACAAATAATTCATATCCATCATCTTTACCCACTTCTTCCTTTTTGAGTCATTGGGGTCACTGGTGCCCATATCCATCCATCACTGTGCAAGAGGCAGGGGGACACCTGGACAGGTCTCCAGTCCATCACAGACAAATAATTCAAAATATATAAATACAGAAGTAAACAGACCAGCCTACCATAGTGCATTAACCTTTAACTCAACATAAAATACAGACTTCACAGTTTTTTTAACCATATTGCTCTAACATTTGTTATATTTTCAAAACTTAACCTAATATAAAATATACAGATTTCCCAGTCTTAACCATATTAATTCATATTTGGTAAATATTTAACAAAATTTCAAAACCTGTGCAAACCTGCACAAAAACTCTTCTGAACTGAAATAATTTATAAATCATTTAGAACTGGCTCCAGGTGATGTGTCTCATCTGGCCTCTCCAACCTGTTAAAAAGACAAGTTACATTAAGTTTGTTGTGTAACTTGTCTATATAAGTTTTAGTATAATATGAAAAAACAGTTACCTTTGAGCTGAAGCTGGTAGCATCAGCTTCTCCCACTTAATTCTGTTTCATGGTGGAGGTGTGGCGCAGCATTATCACTAACAAAGCTACGTGAAGGAATAACTTATTAAAACTAAACCTAAACCCTTCCACTGAGCTGTCTGCTTGTAAATCCTTTGTGATATATCAAGAGATGGAGAGAGATATCTTTGCAGCCTTTGGAGAAGCCTGGAAGTTTGTTGCGGAGTTCGCTGGTCGGCTGCTTCACTTTTATCTTCCGCACATTTTTATCATATTTCCAAAATACTGTACTGCAATTTTATTTTACACTTCTTGGTAAACAACTGTGCTCTTGTTAAGCTCTGTCTTCCCCCGGAACATTGTACGATCTGAAATTATTTTTAAAGATTGAGTGGGTTGAATCGCGCTGTCCCTACAGCAAGTAGGATGCAGGTTTTCCTCCATTGGTCGTTTGTCAACAAAGTGAAATGAGCACGCATGCAGTGTTTGGGTGGTCTCTTCAAGTTCACATTTTTCAGCCACGTTCTTCTTAATGCCTCATCTGTAGGTAGGAGATGAAACTATACCTCTTTTCACAGGAACTCTCTCTTTGTTTTGGCTCCGTGTTCAAACTGTTGTTGTAGCCTCTGATTTAGTTTGGTCTGGTTGTTTTGCAGCCGTGAACGCAACAAGTACCGGAACTCAGCACGGCTGTTTTAGTAAACTTTATGGTTGTTAAATAAATGTGAACAAAAACAAAGTTTTATCTGCTAAACTGAATGTAAATTACTTTCAAATAAATGGCGGTCCATGCTCTACTACCATGTTTAACCAATGCTTACTGCTACTTCCTGTCTGACAGGAAGTTGTACCCATGATCATTCATACAGAAGAGCCCCAGGAAGAAGGTGGTTATAGCTGAGTCTGGGTTTCTGCACTGATTATCGACCCTAGTTCTGACTGATTTGCAGCTGTGGCTGAGTGGTTAGAGCAGTTGTTCTACAATGCAAGAGTTGGGAGTTCAATTCCATCAGCAATCACATGCTGAAGTGTCCTTGGGCAAGACAATGAACCCCTCATTGCCTTCGATGTGTGTCCCATGGATGTCTGAATGTGATAAAGCACTGGTTAGTCTTTGTACAGATCTAGTAGAGTGCTGTATGAATGGGTAAATGAGGACAGATTGTGTTGTAAACAGCTTTGAGTGTCTTGATCAGATTAAAAGGTTCTGTATAAGTACAGTCCGTTCACCATTCTTATGCCCAGTCCTGTTTGTGAGTAGACCTGGACATTTAACGCTAAAGGTGTGTTAATGTTTTGTCCAACAGATGGACAAGAGATTGACACAGGAGATGATGTTTCGAGAAAAACCTGACCTTGTGAAGGACCGTGAGACTGAAAGAGCTCTACAGAGAATAGCCACCAGGTGAATATCAGTTTTCTGACAGAGCTAAATGTGACATTTTATCTCTCTGAAGCTCGTCGTGGTCTTTTCATAGAGGTGTGGTGCAGCTCTTCAATTCTGTTCGGAAACACCAGAAAACAACAAATGACAGACTGAAGGATGCTGGTGGCTCAGAAAGGAAAAAGTCCAAGATTCTTTCATCTGTGTCAAAAAGAGACTTTATTTCTGTGCTGAGGAACATCGAGGAAGGAAGTCAAGTCTCTGACCGGACTAACAAGGATCTTGTGAGTTCAGTAATATTTTTTCACCTACTGTTAAAAGCTGGAGGAGGAAATATCACCAGAATATATCTTAAACCAGTGGGCAAATTCTACATTTGCAGAAATTACTCATTAAGTACGTTACATAGGCATCTGCTCAACGGAGCGGGTGGAGAGGCTGCTTCATGCTAAAGTGGGAGAGTAAACTTGTGTTTTGCTCAACCATTTCTTTAACTTTAGTATGTCCCAAGGTAAAATGCCAACAATAAGACAAAAGCATGTAGTTACTATTTACTGATTTTAATACAGTAGTGCTTTCTTATTTATAAACTAAAATGTAAAGCAGAAGTGTCCACATTTTTTGTTCAAGTTGTTCAAGTTGCGTTTATTTGTCATATGTAAGGTTAACATATGACATTTTAATACATTTATACGTACATACATAATACATAATACATTTTAATACTTTTGTTGGATGTAACTGGGACCCCGTATACCGTACACAATTTCATTTATAAATAAAGAATCTTGAATCCTTGAAAACAAGGTTAACAGTACAATGAAATGTTCACGATGAGAAGAACCGATTTGACTCGCTTAAAAAAATCAAAGAACAAACAAGAAACACTAAAAGCATGCAATAAGGGTACAAAAATAAAGTACCAAGAATTGAGAAAGTAATTATTTATATATATATATATATATATATATATATATATATAT